CCACTATCAAACATTGATAGACAAGAGTCTATTCCTTCTGGCAGATAAGTCACATTAACAAGAATAGAATAGATCCTGTTATTGACGTCTGTGGGACACCCGCTAGGAACGTCTCGTCATTCTTGTAATTCTCTTCACCATTGATTCTTCGCTTTCCGTTGCACTTAATTACTTACTCTTACAGGGCACAAGGTCTAAGTTTCATGACGGTTAAATAAATAAGCAGTCCATCCACACTATTGGATCTACGTCTCCCTGTCATGTATTTCTGTAGATTAAGGTTTGAGAAACCATTTGCCATCCCTGGACCCATTTTGGCATTACTTGTAATGGCTATATTATCTCCAGGTGTACAAATTTTCTTTTGGGGGGGATGGTAATGGTGAAGGGTACCTTACCAGGGATGGTGAAGGGTTCTCCACTAGTTTGCATGGTGTACCTGTTGTTGATCACCATCTGTATCGATCTGGTATGTTGGTACTTTGGTTGTATAAAGTGACATGCTTTATATCACTGACTGGGTATCACAGACCTGCTCACCCCTCAGTGTAGCCATGATTAGTCTTTGTCTGGTCTTATGACCTTTGTTTCCAGTCGTGTTTCCTTCTTATTCAGTAATCTTAATGTGTTGTATAGTCGCTGGGCTTGACAGCTCTTCCTTCACCTCAGACACGTCCAAGTGTTCTGGAGTCGAGACATTTTGGGATCGTCTGTAAAGTGTCTAACGTTCCCTCAGTTTCGTCACTTGTTTCTTAGCCATTGATTTCCTTTTTATTTTACTGTGAAGCAGTATGCCTGCTTGATGGGGGTTCTGGGAGTGAGAACTTGTCCTGACCTGTGAGAACTTGGTCCAACAGGCTGTTGCTTGGAGTGGCCCGCAGGCCCACATATCCACTACAGCCCGGCTGGTCAGGCACTCCTTGAAGAAAACTATCCAGTTTTCTTTTGAAGCTGTCCACGGTTGTTCCGGGAATATTTTCCACATATGATATGGTTATTTGCTTTATTTAACTCGTTTTCAAATTGCCTCTTCGCTTCTCCTCCCATTCTGAGGTATTGAATCCAACTCCTTTATTTACAGATTTGTGGGGTGGATGTCTGATGTTCAGGCAAGTTGTTGTGACATACTGTCTGCATACTAAATCCAGCCTTTGGTGAATTCTGATTATTCACACCGCTGACTTAACCATGGATTATCCCCGCGTCTTTCATAATGACCTGTTTGGAAAGTAACAATTTTGCGAGCTGCCTCCCGGAATATCATTGTGAGGAAGAACATAATATCTTTTGTGTTAACTTCCTGTAGAGTTGTGTAAGCCGGAGTCCCTGTGTTGGGGGGGGGGGGTGTAAGCCGGAGTCCCTGTGTTGGGGGGGGGGGTGTTAGCCGGAGTCCCTGTGTTGGGGGGGGGTGTAAGCCGGAGTCCCTGTGTTGGGGGGGGGGCCGGAGTGTAAGCCGGAGTCCCTGTGTTGGGGGGGGGGGGGGGGTTGTAAGCCGGAGTCCCTGTGTTGGGGGGGGGGTGTAAGCTGGAGTCCCTGTGTTGGGGGGGGGGGCCGGAGTGTAAGCCGGAGTCCCTGTGTTGGGGGGGGGCCGGAGTCCCTGTGTAAGCCGGAGTCCCTGTGTTGGGGGGGTGTAAGCCGGAGTCCCTGTGTTGGGGGGGGGTGTAAGCTGGAGTCCCTGTGTTGGGGGGGGGGTGTAAGCCGGAGTCCCTGTGTTGGGGGGGGTGTAAGCTGGAGTCCCTGTGTTGGGGGGGAGTGTTTCCGCCTGTGTATTGTGTATCCTAGCTCGTGTTCCTCTCCCCACACGGCTCACTGTTATTTCCACAGTGTACTGAAGTGGTCACAATACTCGGTGGTTCATACCTGGTACATACCTGGAGAAGGTTTCGAGGGTTCTTCTACTGCCCGAGGCGGTTGGGCTTCGGACGAGAGATAAATAGCATATGCGTGCAAATGTACTCGTCTAGTTGTGCTTGCGGGGGTTGAGCTTCGGCTCTTTGGTCCCTCCTGTATGTGTGTGTGTGTGTGTGTGTGTGTGTGTGTGTGTGTGTGTGTGTGTGTGTGTGTGTTTCTGCTCAGTTGTAATGATAGCTGGGTAGGTGTATGCTCTTGTTTGTTTCCATGTCTTGTGTGTAGGATGAGATTTTTTTGTATCGAATATGAGCAGTGCTGAGAACACCCCACAACAGTTGACTGGCACACAAGTACCTATTTCCTGCTGGGTGTAGAGAGGCAGCGGGTGCAGGGGACACTCTCAACCGCTGCCCACGATTGTGACTGTGAAATTGGTCTATTTATAATGCATGCGTGTGTGTGTGCTCGCTAGTGCGCGCGCGCGCGTTCTTGAACCTGTGTCCCAGCTGCTGACTGGCGCTTATGTCTCTTACACATTTGACAGTCAGGGTGGGTGGGTGAGTCCCCGCAGGAGCCTGACTCAGCATGGGCCATGAGTCCCCACAGGAGCCTGACTCAGCATGGGTCATGAGTCCCCACAGGAGCCTGACTCAGCATGGGTCATGAGTCCCCACAGGAGCCTGACTCAGCATGGGTCATGAGTCCACACAGGAGCCTGACTCAGCATGGGTCACGAGTCCACACAGGAGCCTGACTCAGCATGGGTCATGAGTCTCACAGGAACATAACTCAGCATGGGCCATGAGTCCCCACAGGAGCCTGACTCAGCATGGGTCATGAGTCCACACAGGAGCCTGACTCAGCATGGGTCATGAGTCTCACAGGAACATAACTCAGCATGGGCCATGAGTCCCCACAGGAGCCTGACTCAGCATGGGTCATGAGTCCCCACAGGAGCCTGACTCAGCATGGGTCATGAGTCCCCACAGGAGCCTGACTCAGCATGGGTCATGAGTCCCCACAGGAGCCTGACTCAGCATGGGTCATGAGTCCCCACAGGAGCCTGACTCAGCATGGGTCATGAGTCCCCACAGGAGCCTGACTCAGCATGGGTCATGAGTCCCCACAGGAGCCTGACTCAGCATGGGTCATGAGTCCCCACAGGAGCCTGACTCAGCATGGGCCATGAGTCTCACAGCAGCATAACTCAGCATGACGGAGGGCCACAAAAGTCCCACCTTCCCAGGAGGACATTAATTCTCCAGCACAGTTAAGTGTGTCCGGAGAATTTACGCCAGACTTTATATTAAATTTATATAGGAGGTCGTGAAGGTTTGTGTTGAGGCGGTGAGATATGCACCAAGTTCTTGGGTAATTAACACAAGGTGTTGGGGTGGCGTGCCTCCTCCCTACACCCTCTTGGGGTGGCGTGCCGCCTCCCTACACCCTCTTGGGGTGGCGTGCCGCCTCCCTACACCCTCTTGGGGTGGCGTGCCGCCTCCCTACACCCTCTTGGGGTGGCGTGCCGCCTCCCTACACCCTCTTGGGGTGGCGTGCCGCCTCCCTACACCCTCTTGGGGTGGCGTGCCGCCTCCCTACACCCTCTTGGGGTGGTGTGGTGGCAGAGACCACTTTCTCTGGTGGGTGGGTGGGTGACACCACTGAGAAAGCTTGATGTTCGGGGAAGAAGCCCATCATAGTTGACCAGACCACACTCTAGAAGGTGAAGGGACGACGACGTTTCGGTCCGTCCTGGACCATTTTCAAGCCCATCATAACATGAAGTGAATTTTAGTTGTCACTCCTACACTCAATGGGTGTGTTGGAGTGTGGGATGTGTGTTGGAGTGAGTTTCAGAGTGAGGGGAGAGGGCATTACCGTAGTCCTGGCGACTACATCATCTATCCCTCAGTGAATTGTTCTCAAACTAACTCATTTTGGATGGCACTGACCTATTTTGGTGGGTTAACTGCTTTATGCAAAAAATACGCGTTCAGTTGTATGATGCAAATTGTCTAAATCGGAATTGAGGTCAAACGTCGCTGGGAGCATCATAATAAAGTATTTTTGGGGGGGAAAGTTTTGTCATGTTAGTGGCTCGTCTCCGGGACGCTAGTTAGCGAGTGTCACTGTTGTTAACGAAAAAATCTATAACAAAATGTTGATTTAGTAGAATAGAGCTTCGACTTCCCCGGAGCCCAACAACTTGTATAAATTAATATATTACCAACTGATAAACGACTTGTAACACATTTTTTTTTTTTAAGGATTTCAAGTTTTCAATTATTTTCAATAAAATGTGTGACTAATTATGTTACATGTATGTTCTTGTGAAGACCTTGTCACCGTCGCTATCACGGCCTCTTGGTAAGACGTAACGGGCTTCAGGTCATTGGGTCTTAGTTCTGTGATTGTTTTAAGGCGTTCATCATCGTTTGAGATTGGATTTGTAATGTGACTTATTAGCAACTGTACTCTATATTAATTGTTTTGTGTAATTATGAAAGTAATTACTTAGGTAATTACTTAGGTAATTACCTAAGACACACAAAACAGTGTGTGTGTACTCAGTTGTACTCACCTAGTTGTACTTGCGAGGGTTTAGCTATGGCTCTTTGGTCCCGCCTCTCAACTGTCAATCAACTGGTGTACAGGTTCCTGAGCCTACTGGGCTCTATCATATCTGCATTTGAAACTGTGTATGGAGTCAGCCTCCACCACATCACTGCCTAATGCATTCCACCTGTTAATTACTCTGACACTGAAAAAGTTCTTTCTAACGTCCCTGTGGCTCATGTGGGTACTCAGTTTCCACCTATGCCCCCTTGTTCGCGTACCACTAGTGTTAAACAGTTTATCTTTATCCTGTCAATTCCTCTGAGAATGTTGTAGGTAGTGATCATGTCTCTCCTAACTCTTCTGTCTTCCAGTTTCGCGAGTTTCAGTAATCATTCCTCATAGCTCATTCCTCTCAGCTCGGGGACTAGCCTGGTGGCATACCTGTGTGTGTGGGGGGAGGGGAAGGGAGGAGGGGGTGCATGGGTGTAAAAGTGGGGGTGTAAAAGTGGGGGTGGTGGGGGGAGGAGGTAAGGGGAGGTAGGGGGGAAGGGTACTCGGTAACCATACTCACCAAAGGTGTTGTTCCACAGGGAGAATGCGACGCTATGGGACAACTTCCACCTGAGCATCTCCCGGGACGAGCTATACGGCGTGGAGGACCCCACGGTCAACAGGCTCCTCCAGCAGGTGTCCACCATGCCCATCTCCCACATCAGTAAGTATTACGGGCTCACCATAGCCCGTGCTACTTGGAACTTGTTCCGAGTAGCTGAATCTATAACAACATCAGTAAGTCCTCGTCACCAGTGTTGTTCCACGGGTGAACCGCCAGTTGGAACAAATCCACAAGGGCTGCGACGAGGATTCGAACCTGCGTCCGAGAGCATCCCAGACGCTGCCTTAATCGTCTGAGCTACGATATGGTTTTGTTCATTTGATTTGAACAATTGTGATTTGTGTGTGTTGTTCCACGGGTGAAACCGCGGGTATTAGTGTCATAACCGAGCCATAAATGGCGAGTTAATTGCCCAAATCCACAAAATGATTTACAAACTCGAGATGGGTGGTTTTTAACTAATTATCCATTAAACAGCAATTTAATAATTACCCAGAGTTGACCGACAAATTTTCATAGTGTTTTTTGGTAATTAATTTAGCCCAAATTAATTTACTTTAAACAATTGGTTGATCATTAACTCGCGCGTGCAGGCTTGGACGAACGTGAACCTGATAGTTCTGAAACACAGTGTTGGAGTCTATTGGGCTCGCCAGAGGGGGTTCACCTTGTTATATATACTCATGAATAGGATAGCATCCGAGAGGTACTCAAACACGGCAACTCCAATCATCTACACTGATGATATTGGGTGTCAGGGGTAAAGATATATTTTAAAATATTCAAGCAGTGTTGAACAAATTCGGAGACATATGAGACTGGAGGTTAATCGACAAAACTTGAGTTTCAATGTAGAAGTTGGAAGGTATTAGAAATAAGTGGGGAAAAACGTAGAAAGAGTTAAAATATATATTTACGCGCATGAGGATTTGATGAGTTGTAAATCATCTGTTGAGTCTGTCTGAAGAGACTATATATATATAAACCTTTGAAGGCCTTGGAATGTTGTGGAGAGGGAGTGGGAAGTTCTTGTGCTGTGCATGATATAGTTAAGTACTGTGAGATCTCTTACTGATTATGTCCCATCTGTTATTTCTTATTTTGGTGGAAGTTGACTAAACAACTTGAAGAAGGTACAAAATAAATGTATGAGAATAATCTTAAGAATACCCAAGAAATTCTGTGATTAATTAAGATAATGAAGATAGAATTGAACCTGAAAGCTGGAATTGGGAGCTGGGAAGAAATGAACAATGTACCGTTCGAACAACGTTCGAACCCTCGTCACGGCCCTTGTGGATGTGTTCAAATGAACAATGTATTTTAAGGTATAATAACACAGGACAGTATAACGAGGCAGCCTCAACATTTGCAATACCAGGAGCACCACAAGATGCAGGCGAGGAGTCACAATAACGTGGCTGAAGTATGTTGACCAATCCACACACTAGAAGGTGAAGGGGAAGACGACGTTTCGGTCCGTCCTGGACCATTTTCAAGTCGATTGTGAATCGACTTGAGATTGATCCAGGACGGACCGAAACGTCGTCATCCCTTCACCTTCTAGTGTGTGGTCTGATCAGCACCACAAGATGATGAGGAGGAGGACGTGACAAAGCCACTACGCGTACATTTTGCACTATGACCTCTCAATATATTGCATTCATGCAGATTTTTAGCAGAGGACACCACTAAGAGAGTCATAATTACTCTGAAGGGTGTTCCTATTTTCGGCCCCCTTTTCCATCTCTGTTCCTTATACCCACACCAACACATACCTTTATTAATGACCAAAACCACACATCAGAAAAAGAGACGACGACGTTTCGGTCTGTCCCGAGCCCATTATCAAGTCATGTAATAGAAAAGGAGCTGAAGAATCAAACGTTATTATTCCATTTTCTGATGAGTGGTTTGGTGGTCACATCTTCAGCCACGTTATTGTGACCCATCGACTGCACACACTTGTACTGCCCTCGTTCCCAAAATCCATTCCGTATGACTGCTAACGGTTAGGAGTAACGCTAAAATTAACCCCTTAACACATGTCCTGCGAAGCGAGCAGCACATGTGAGGTTCCCCCATACTGGATCGTTTGGTGGTCTTAAACATTATCTTCTCCGGAGAAGCTGATGGTCTTCAACGTTGAAACGAACATATTGGTTTATAGAGATACTTGATACAAGAGCTCAAAACGATCATCGACTTGAGAATGGTCCAGGACGGACCGAAACGACGTCGTCCCTTCACTTTCTAGTGTGTGGTCTGGTCAACATATTTCAGCAATTGTGACTCATCTTCGTCAAGAGCTCAAAAGATTTAAGGCTGCTCGAGTCAGTTAAGCTTGGATCAGCTCTCCTAAATAACAGCAGACACATAATGTCGTATATAACCTAAGATAATTAGTAATGACTGATGATGTGTACATTTGTGTGCTATGTTGAGATGCTAAAGATTTGTTGGTGTGTCCTCAGGCCAGAAGGAAGGAGGAACGCAGCTCAAACTCATCATAGAGTTCATCGACGGAGGACACGCTCTCTTCAAGCCCATGAGGTGAGTTGTGTGCGTGAGTGCAACAGTATTGTTTGAGTGCATTTTACTTCTTGTGCCACGTAAATGTTTTAATCACTGTGTTAGATTATCACATTTCGTGACCAGTGTGGAGAGAGAGATATATGAGTGATTTGTTATATAAAAGAATTTTGTATTAATAGTGCTTTTAATTTTAAAGAAATTTAATAAGCTGTACTTGTGGTTTTTTGAACTTGTTCTTGTTTAAGGAGTTATTTTTCTCAAAGACGAATGTTTCATAAGACTCTAGAAAAGATGTTCTCTGGCTCACAATAACAATGCTGATTTTGCAGAATCTATTTCATACAATAGAAGTGATTAAATTGAAACTTGCTAGACTAGACTAGTATAGTTTGAAAGTTTTAAGTTTGTCCTAGTGATGCTATTTTCAAAAAGTTCCATTTATGGGTCGCTAACTTTTTTCAGAACTTAGAAATTCTTTTAATGCCATTGAATTGAAGTTAACAATTTGTCCACATTTAGGGACATAGTGATGTAAGGTGTGAAAGTTTGGTGTCAAGAGTTTACGTTTCGTCAATTCATTTTCGTCAACATTGCAGTGTAAACTCGAGATACTTGTAGCCAAGCCTGAGTAGAGGTCGCACGGAGCGACCAATATTATACTGCTTATGTTTGGTTAGGCCATATATGCGGTGGCTCTTGCACCATGATACATGAAATAGGTTTAGATTTCACTTTGATTGCAACTCTAACATTTTGCATGGCATGTTTCACCCATTAGGCTTTTCGGTCCAGGACGGACCGAAACGTCGTCGTTTCTTCACTTTCTGATGTGCTGTTTGGGTCATCACATCATTGCATCCATTAGGTTACCCCCAGTGTTCTTGCAGATTCGTAGGTTCCCCGTAATTAGCCAAGGTAGCCGGTCGGCCGAGCGGACAGCACGCTGGACTTGTGATCCTGTGGTCCTGGATTCGATCCCAGGCGCCGGCGAGAAACAATGGGCGGAGTTTCTTTCACCATATGCCCCTGTTACCTAGCAGTAAAATAGATATCTGGGTGTTAGTCAGCTGTCACGGGCTGCTTCCTGGGGGTGGAGGCCTGGTTGAGGACCGGGCCGCGGGGACACTAAAAAGCCCCGAAATTATCTCAAGATAACCTTAAGATAGCATCTAGTTCGGCAGGTATGGAGCAAGACGCCCCGTGCAATTGTTCACTGATTTAACTTGCACCCTTCCTCAGGTTCAACCGGGAGCAGGAGACCCTGAAGAACCACTTCTACTTTACCGACTTCGAGCGACACAATGCTGAGATCGCGGCATTCCATCTCGACAGGTTGGTACTGAAGTACATGTGTAATATATATGCTCCCCGTCACATATACATATAATGATGGGGAGGAAACATGAGAGACCCGTGCAAAGGAATACTACTAGTGAATAGTACAGGTCCTGAAGCTGATAAGAGTTATTGTAATTAATTGAGAAGGATAACTTGAGATTTATAACCGGAAATCCAATCTTCACATGATCTTAAGGAAACACACATTATGCTTAATCCCACTTAATGGATGGAAAATCCCCGTATCTGCAACGTTAGCGCATTGAAATAAAGGATGTTTGAGGAGGGAGTGAAGAATGTGTGTGTGGTTCTTGACCCCTACAGGTTACTGGGGTTCCGGCGAGCGGTGCCCATCGTGGGGCGGAATGTCAACATCACGCGGGACCTGTATGCTCTGGCCCAGGGAGACCTGCTCAAGACCTTCTTCATCTCTCCTGACAACAACCTGTGCTTCCACGGCAAGTGTAGGTGAGTTACCCCTCTCCGAGGCCACAACCCTCTGTGCCCTGGGTGAATTATGTATAACCTATCTAGTACCGTGTGTGTGTGTGTTAATGGTAAGTGTATGCAAGTCGTAAATTTTCTGACGACACCCTTACTGCAACCAGGTGTAGGTGCACCTCCCTCTGACAAACACCCTTTGTTATAAGGTGTAATTGTTGTCTAGCAGCGTCTGTCAGGAGAGGTTATGGTAAGTCTTTGCACCAATACATTCATGTTTGTATTCTGTATTTTGGGCAAGCCTTTCTGGCTGCCATCAGAGACTCACGTGAACATGTCCCAAGTCACCTCCAACACCACCTGTCAGACTGACAGACGGAGTAAGTCCGGACGGGATAGACAGTCCCGACTCGGGACAAACAAGAAACCGAAGGTACAAAGTAGGTATTGATATAGTTCATTCAGCCTATCAATTAGCTTCGATTTTAGCCTCTTGTCAGCATTTTAGATTGTCTACAGTGTGTTATCTAGCACATAGGTATCGCAACCTCTAGCACATGTTTTAGTTATCTCCATAAACATGTGTGATAACATTAACAGATCAGATATATCCAGGTTTGCAGACTAATTAGCATACATGTAGAGTAGTGTAGCTTACTGTAGCGCGGCTGACCCTTGCAGCTACTACTGCGACACCGCCCACGCCATCTGTGGCAACCCTGATATGCTGGAGGGGTCCTTCGCCATATTCCTGCCGGGGAAGGAGGCGGCGCCCCGTAAGGTATGGCGACATCCCTGGCGAAGGAGCTACCACAAGCGCCGCAAGGCACAGTGGGAAGTGGGTAAGTTACACTGCTTCTCCTCCTGCATCTTCCCCTGTTCCACCTCCTGCACCTTCTTCCCCCTGTTCCACATTAGCTTCTAACTTATGTTTCCCACAATGTCTCCAGAGGGAAACTGGGGGAATTATTGCAGATGAGGAGTCACAATAACGTGGCTGAAGTATGTTGACCAGACCATACACACTGGGACGACGACGTTTCGGTCCGTCCTGGACCATTCTCACAGTCGAATCGTCGTCGTCCTTTCACTTTCTAGTGGTGGAGTTATTGTCACTATATTCTGTTTACAAAACAGAAGACAGATTCGGGGAATATGACGGAGAGGTTGGGGAAAAGCTTTTTGAAAAAAAACAGGTCCATTAAAACCTGAGACAGGTCAGATAACTGATAATGACGAAGAGATGAGCAGTATTTTAAATATATATTTTGTGTCTATATTTACTAAAGAAGAACTTAACATTATGCCTTCAGCCAAGCAAGACGATATTGATGGGGAAGAGGACAGGTTGACCAATTTAGTAGTTTACCAGGGAGGATGTTATTAAATAAATAGAAAACTTAAGCCAAACAAATCCCCAGAGCCTGATAAAAGTGTTTGCCAGGGTGCTTAAAGATTGTAAAGAGGAGCTTTGAGAGCCATTTCCTAGCATATTTAACAAATCATTAGTGTCAGAGTTCCAGAGTCGTGGATGGTTGCTAATGTGGTATAAATTTTCAAGAAAGGTGATATATCTCTATCATCGAACTATCGATCAATTAGCTTAACGTCTATTGTGGGAAAATTGCTTGAATTGATAATTGCAACAGCCATTCGTCTTCCTCTTGAAAAACATCGATTAATAAAAGATTCACAACATGCTTTTACCAAAGGCGGTTCATTTTTGACAAATTTGCTATTATCTTCCAGCATAATTCAGGCAATTGATAGTGGAAAGGCTTTGATGTTGTGTACCTTGACTTTAGCAAAGCTTTTGATACAATGCCACTTGAAAGATTGATTAAAAGGATAGAGGCTCATGGTATTGGTGGTGCTATATTAAGTTGGATTAGGGCACGGCTATGCCAAAGGAAACAAAATTAGTATAAATGGAGTTAAGTAAGAGTGGGAAAATGTTGTAATTGGAGTTCCTCGAGGCTCCGTCATGGGACCTCTCTTATTTATAATATATATAAATGATTTAGATTCAGGTTTGAACGGCAATATCTTCAAATTTGCCGACGATGCGAAAATCGAGAGTGAAAAACCAACCCGTACGTCCTCCTAATAAAAATGCTTTATTATAAAAATGCGTCAAAAATACATTTTGACTTTATATACTTTATATAAGGCCAAAAATTGTCTTACTAGAAAATAGTTGCAGCTCGAGAAATTAACATACTGTCTCGTTTTTCGCTGAATAAACAAGGAAGACGACTCGCAATCACTTCAAAACGATCCAAATTGGGTTTTGAAATGCTCAAAACATTAGCAGATGCAATTCAAGCGTAGATTAGACATATATTAGTGAGTTTGGGTTGGTATAAACAGTAGCTGCCATGTATGGACCAATAGTGAGTTTGGGTTGGTATAAACAGTAGCTGCCATGTATGGACCAATAGTGAGTTTGGGTTGGTATAAACAGTAGCTGCCATGTATGGACCAATAGTGAGTTTGGGTTGGTATAAACAGTAGCTGCCATGTATGGACCAATAGGCCTCTTGTTGTTTCCTTGATGTATTAAGTTCCTACTGTGTTTCTGCCATGTGGCATCGAACAAAAACAGCTTCTCTAATAGAACAGTGACCTCCTTCTAATAGAACAGTGACCTCCTTCTAATAGAACAGTGACCTCCTTCTAATAGAACAGTGACCTCCTTCTAATAGAACAGTGACCTCCTTCTAATAGAACAGTGACCTCCCATTCTCAATGTTCTAAATATTTCCTGTGCCTTTTTTCATTGTTTTATAATGTAAACTTGTAAATATACTTGTCTATATAATAATAATAATATTAAAGAGAGCCTCATGAAACAATGTTGTGAATAGAGACTCGAGTTGTCGGTCACGTCACTAGAGAGAGAATTAACCCAAGTCTTTTAAAAGTGTTAAGAGACAAAAACATATACAAAGTTGCTGCGGACATAACGTCATTGAAGTGTTCTATAATGCCTGGCTATATTTACCTCCAGATGACGACTACTGCGACCTGGTGAAGGAGGTCCACCCATATAACGAAGGTCGGAGGCTGTTGGACATCATGGATATGTCCGTTCTTGACTTCCTCATGGGCAATATGGATCGACATCATTACGAAACTTTTAAGGTGAAAAATACAAAACAAATGCTGTTTGATATATATATATATATATATATATATATATATATATATATATATATATATATATATATATATATATATATATATATATATATATCAATTTTAACAATTCTTATACATTATTATAGCCATTCCGTTACATTAATGAAACCCTTGTCAGGCTTGACATTTATATAGCAGATTTGTATTATATAGCATTTATATAGCAGATTTATATAGTAGATTTACCAGGGAATTGTGATAGTAGCATAGTTCAAAGGAGTAAATACCGGAATATTTGTAATTTACCATTTATTATTTTATACAGAAGGCGAAGCAGGTTATAATTGAGTGATTCTTGTGTTCATCAGATGTTTGGGAATAACTCTGCGCCTCTGCACCTGGACCACGGGAGGGGGTTCGGTAAGGCCTTCCACGACGAGGTCTCCATCCTGGCTCCCGTCTACCAGTGCTGTCTCATCAGACAGTCCACTCTGGCTTCTTTACTAAGGTTCGTCCACAAGTTCTGTCAACCCAGGAGTAACAGTAATGACTCCTGCGCGCGCGCGCGCGCACACACGCTACACGCAAGCACACACGCACGCGCGCGCACACACACACACACACACACACACACACACACACACACACACATTTGTAAACTTCATTCTGGAGACATTCTTGTATCAACACACAAAGCAGGCCAAAAGAATGAGGGAAGGAGATGTACTGAATTTAGTATTCATCAGGAAAGAAGAAGAGATATTTGACATCCAGTACCTTCCTTCCTTGGGAAAGAGTCATCACGTCCTGTTAGACATTAAATATGCTTTAAGATATCATCTAGAAGAAAATGGGGCTATTGAAACAGTTGATAAACTCGATTTCAAGAGAGGACACTATGGGGAACTTCGGAACTTCGAAATTTTTTTAATGAGTGTAATTGGACAGACTTGTTGCTAGGCAAGGAAGTAAATGAGATGTTTGCCAAATTTTGCAAAATATACGATGAAGGCACACAAACATTCATACCTAAACAGAGATGCAGGGCCAGAAAACAGGATTGGTTCAACAGAAATTGCGAGTGGGGCAGAGACCAAAAGACACAAAATTGGAATCAATACAGGAAGAGGCCAAACCCCCAAACATACCAGTAATACAAAGATGTGAGAAACAACTACACGGCAGTGAGGAAAGAGGCAGAAAGTAATTTTGAAAAAGGGATAGCGGACAAATGTAAACAGAACCAGGTCTATTCTACAAATTCATAAACAACAAATTGCAGGTAAAGGATAATATTCAGAGGTTGAAAATGGGAAACAGATTCTGGAAAATGAAAAGGAAATGTGTGAAACATTAAACGTAAAGTTGCAAAGTGTGTTTGTACAAAACGAAATCTTCAGGGAGCCAGACACAATAAGAATTCCAGAGAACAACATAGTGCACATAGAGGTGTCTAGAGATGAAGTGGAAAATATGCTAAAGGAGCTAAGTAAGAACAAAGCAGTTGGTCCAGATGGAGTTTCACCATGGGTTCTGAGAGAATGTGCACCTGAGCTCAGCATTCCACTTCGGCTGATTTTTCAGGCATCCCTGTTTACAGGAGTTGTAGCTGATGTGTGGAAAAAGGCTAACATAGTTCCAGTCTACAAAAGTGGAAGCAGGGAAGACCCCCTCAATTATAGACCGGTATCATTGACAAGTGTAATAGTAAAAATATTAGAAAAAATAATTGAAAGTAAATGGGTAAAACACCTGGAAAGGAATGATACAATATCAGACAGACAGTATGGTTTTTCGATCTGGAAGATCCTGTGTAACAAATTTTCTCAGTTTCTGTGATCGAGCAACAGAGATTTTACAGGAAAGAGATGGTTGGGTTGACTGAATCTATCTGGACCTAAAAAAGGCTTTCGACAGAGTTCCACATAAGAGGTTGTTCTGGAAACTGGAACACATTGGAGGGGTGACAGGTAAGATGCTAACATGGATGAAAAATTTTCTGACTGATAGAAAAATGAGGGCAGTAATCAGAGGAAGTGCATCGGACTGGAGAAATGTCACAAGCGGAGTACCACAGGGTTCAGTTCTTACACCGGTAATGTTCATTGTCTACATAAACGATCTTCCTGTTGTAATACAGAATTATATGAACATGTTTGCTGATGATGCTAAGATAATAGGAAGGATAAGAAACTTAGATGATTGTCATGCCCTTCAAGAAGACCTGGACAAAATAAGTATATGGAGCACCACTTGGCAAATGGAATTTAATGTGAATAAATGCCATGTTATGGAATGTGGAATAGGAGAACATAGACTCAACACAACCTATAAGTGTTGAGAAATGAGAAATCTTTAAAGAAGTCTGATAAGAAAGAGATCTAGGGGTGGTTCTAGATAGAAAACTGTCACCTGAGGATCACATTAAGAATATTGTGCGAGGAGCCTATGCTACACTTTCTAACTTCAGAATTGCTTTTAAATACATGGATGGCGATATACTAAAGCAATTGTTCACGACTTTTGTTAGGCCAAAGCTAGAATGTGCAGTGGTTGTATGGTGCCCATATCTTAAGAAGCACATCAACAAACTGGAAAAGGTGTAAAGACGTGCTACTAAGTGGCTCCCAGAACTGAAGGGCAAGAGCTACGAGGAGAGGTTAGAGGCATTAAATATGCCAAAACTAGAAGACAGAAGGAAAAGAGGTGATATGATCACTACATACAAAATAGTAACAGTAATTGATAAAATTAATAATGAAGATTTCCTGAGACCTGGAACTTCAAGAACAAGAGGTCATAGATTTAAACTAACAAATCAGAGATGCCGAAGAAATATAAGAAAATTCACTTTCGCAGAGTGGTAGACCGTTGGAACAAGTTAGGTGAGAAGGTGGTGGAGGCCAAGACCGTCAGTAGTTTCAAAGCGTTATATGACAAAGAGTGCTGGGAAGACGGGACACCACGAGCGTAGCTCTCATCCTGTAACTACACTTAGGTAATTAACCACTTAGGTAATTTCACACGCACAAGAAAGAGCTGAGTGAACAGCGCTCTGGACTCGTAATCCTAGGGCCCGAGTTCGATCCCCGGTGATGACAGAAACAAATTGGTCAGTTTCTTTCACCCTGATGCCCCTGTTACCTAGCAGTAAATAGGTACTTGGAAGTTAGACAGATGTTACGGGCTGCTTTGTGTGTGTACTCGCCTAATTGTACTCACCAAATTGTGCTTGCGGGGGTTGAGCTCTGGTTCTTTGGTCCCGCCTCTCAACCGTCAATCAACAGGTGTACAGGTTCCTGAGCCTATTGGGCTCTATCATATCTACACTTGAAACTGTGTATGGAGTCAGCCTCCACCACATCACTTCCTAATGCATTCCATTTGTCAACCACTCTGACACTAAAAAAGTTCTTTCTAATATCTCTGTGGCTCATTTGGGCACTCAGTTTCCACCTGTGTTCCCTAGTGTGTGTGCCCCTTGTGGTAAATAGCCTGTGTGTGTGTGTAAAATTAGTAGTAACAACTGATTGACAGTTGAGAGGCGGGCCGAAAGAGCAGAGCTCAACCCCCGCAAGCACAACAAGGTGAATACACACACACCACCAACCCGGAGTAAATAGAGCAATATATATATATATATGTGTGTGTGTGTATGTGTATATATATTTTTTTTTAGTTTGTGAGGGTACCACCTCTGGTGCCAATGTGGGGACACATAGCCTCGGAGAAAAAAATAAAAAGTATTCAGAGGAGACCTTGTGGTTTCTCACTGAACACCAATATTATCTTCTCTTATATTATCTCTTATATTATTCTCTTATATATATAACACCAATATTATCTTATCTTATATATTTTATATATATATGTATATCAAGTACAAAACAAACATGGTTTGTGTCAAACATAAATCTCACGAACGTCAAAAAGATTATAAATGGTAGAGAATCTACGGTCATAAAATTTATCATTATCGATAGAATTAAGATTCTGCGGTTACATTTGCAATATTGCTACTTAAAACTAAATACTTTTGTAATTGTTTCCTGTTTGTGCTCACCCCCCCCCTATACCTTACTTTTCTGTCTCTGACCTCTTTTTATAATTACCTTACCTTTTTTTATGTTAACCCTTACATGTGAATCTCCAGTCAAATCAGCACTATATACCATGCTTTCTATACTCTTACATGTGAATCTCCAGTCAAATCAGCACTATATACCATGCTTTCTATACTCTTACATGTGAATCTCCGGTCAAATCAGCACTATAAACCATGCTTTCTATACTCGGCCACGGTGTCATCTCGTTTCTATATTCCCCGTCTTCTGTTTATCTTAATACTGTGTCGTAACCGCTCCACCAGTACTTGCACGAGCTTAACACACTTGTTTGGAGTAATGTGTAATTTAAGGGGGTGCAAGTCAACAAGGACTGCATAGCACCGACGCTTTCTTCCGTCACCAACGCTTTTTCCTGTCAAACTAAGTGAATATTACGTATTTCCTGACAGGTACCACACGGGGCCGGACCGCCTGAGTGAGGCGATGAGGGCGTCTCTGGCTCTGGATCCTGTCAACCCTATCCTATGGGAGCCCCATCTAGATGCCTTGGATCGAAGGCTCAACGTTATTCTCCAGGTTATACGGGAGTGTGTGGAAAAGGCTCAAGATCCTCTTCATGTTATTGTTAATGATTTTCATTAAACCAGTGAGAGATGTGATCTTAATTTGGGAAACACAAGCTATCACTGACTCCAGTCTTGTCCGGGATTAAGTTCTAATACAGCTTTAAACTGGTTTAATTGTTCATGAACAGTTTATGAACGTTATCTTCCCAAGATCAACATTACCATGTAATATTTATAAATGAAAGTAACGTGTGACTACTTAAGCTGTGAGGCCACAGCTCCGAATTGGTATAATTGTGCAGGAAGTGCCAGTGAGAAAGTTGTGGGTTTTTCTGCAAGGACTTCGTCTTGCTGAATAAGCTACCTGTGTGCGCGTGAGGTGATGGGTTCTGCTTTTGGATCTGCACAGTATTTGAGACCTCTTGTACCATCACTACTTGAACACTTCCAAGAAAGACCTCCTGAAAACGGTGTGCTTTTGGGGGGGAAATCTATTCCGGAGGAAGGCTTATAAATTACCTGCAAATTTTTGATGGTTGTGCTACATTGATAAAAAACAAAAAGTGGTGCTAAAACGGCTGGAGTCGAGGCAGCAGTACACGGGTGATGACTAGTGTGAGAGAAGAAGCCTTATGTGAATCAGCAGTTTACTAGTTTACCTTCTGGAGTGGAAATGATCTGTGTCGGAACATGTGGGAAAGATGCTTCGTCTTGGTTTACAGCTGCAACTTGGCAGCTGTATTTTAGTAAAGTTTGATCGTGAATGTATTTTTGGAAACGAGTAATTGGAGGAAGGGGCTAGGTACATTGTTTTAAGATACATAATTTGTGTTCAAATACATTGCCACAGTTTATATAAATACATAAAATGTTATACGTGTGAAACATGTATATTTAGTTTTTAAGTAGTTAAGAGATCAAATTATTTCATGAGCTTATAGCCATTATGTACTACTATTGTAACCAATGATTTATTTATTCTACGCTGTGGTAATTTATTAAATTATATTGAGTAATAAAGTACATTTACAAGGCCGTTGTACAAAGTTTATGGTAATTAACAGCAGGGCTGGGTTTGATGCTGGAATGAACACTTTGACACTTGTACCGAAGTGAAGCAGTAATTTATTTTACAAGAATGTGGTAATGATATGATAAAGCAATGAAGGGAATTTCATAACATTTGATTGGAAAATTAATATGGGTAATGTTTTAAGATGGTGTTTGTTGATTTGTCTGTGCAGCTCAGTGTTAAAAGACTGGTATTAATTCATTCAGTTGAACAGTCGTAAGTGTTGATATACATGATATTTTTACCGTAAGGGAGTTTTATCAGTTTGATAGAGGTGATGAGTCACAGTAACGTGGCTGAAGTATGTTGACCAGATCACACACTAGAAGGTGAAGGGACGACGTTTCGGTTCGTCCTGGACCATTCTCAAGTCGATTCATTCACAGTCGACTTGAGAATGGTCCAGGACGGACCGAAACGTCAGTCGTCCCTTCACCTTCTAGTGTGTGATCTGGTCAAACTACTTCAGCCACGTTATTGTGACTCATCGCTTTCATAATCGTTTTCTCATGTGGCACAGGACTTGTTATCGAACAAAAAATTTCAGTATTTCATTGCCGGTTGCCAAATTGTTTGTAAAATTGTAAAATTGCTTAATACCCCGCATGTCAGGTATCGGCCCCACCTTATTCTTGACCGTCTTTCTCTGATTGGGTGAAACCATTTACCTAAATGTGGCGTTTGTGTGTCGTTTTTTTTTTGCCGTTTTGGTTGTGTTATGATTTTGATTGAGTTCATGTCCACTGAAATCTCTTTACGTTATAAATTTAAATTAAATTTAGTTTAATTTTCAATTCATATACATCAAGATACATTGCTTCTGTGCAATAAAACTCAACACAATACAAATTTACAGTTCATTAGTAAAAGAATTTTTCTTTTAACACAAACTTCTGAAATTATATATATTTTTTTAATTTTACAGACTATTTGTTTATAGTTTGTAGATTAATTTTCATACCAACCTTTACTGCACAAGATAATGGTTTATTTAAAAAAAATTATATCAGAATTGCCACTCCAGGTGTTGCATGTATCCAGTTGAGATTTAAACTAACATTATTTTATTTACTACCACCGTGGAGCATTAATATTGCTCTTATCGATATATTTGTAAAATTATTTATTGGGAATTATTATATATATATATATAATATATATATATATATATATATATACTTAATTTTCTGGATACATTTTATATATATATATATATATATATATATATATATATATATATATAAAATGTATCCAGAAAATTAAGAATATATATATATATATATATATATATATATATATATATATATATATATATATATATATATATATATATATATACTGTATATATACTTAATTTTCTGGATACATTTTAAGTTTAATGATTAAATTTGTTGCAAAAAAATTCAAGAACACAATTTCAAGAGAAGAATGAATCTAAATATTTTGAGGATAGAGATATGACACGAAAAATAAATATTCAGTGTAAGGGAAGCATCAGGAAGTGTGTGTAAATGACTGAACGCGGCGAGGGGGGGCACATACGATGCAGTTTTTTTTTTTGGTGGGGTAAAATTTGGAGTGATGTTCACGCAAGAGATGAGAGTTATGCATCAACATTACTAATTAGTAATGTTTGCATGAGCATCACCTCACCTTTACCTGTTACCAGTTTAGATTTTGTTGTGTATTTAAAATATTTAAACATATAAGTTGCAATATTGTTTCTTAGTTTTTTCCTCATTTTTTTTTAGGTACTAAACCTTGCACATATACGGAGAAACCTGCGGAAGTCGATACAGAATCCTTTCTCTCATAAATTATTTCCGAATATTCACAAGGTTTTAGAGCTAAGGGTGCATCGTTAGTGTTTGAAAAATGCATAAAAATATTGTGTTGTGTTCGATGGCATTGGAAATAATGTTCCACATTATGAACTAGAAACTGGTGGCAAGCCACGCCATGGACAGGGTTGGCAGGGAACGAACATGATCATTTACAAAAGCCGGCCCATGCTGTCAAGGTTCTGTGATACAGTAATCCTAAATTGTTTGGTAGGAACTGCTCTATGACAAAAGGAGATGACATAAAATATTATCTCCTAGCTTCTCGTGAAACATTCCACCATCATTCCTTTAATCCAGGTAAGAAATGTTTATATATAAGCCTCATAATTCATGTTAATAGATCTAGTTTATAAAAATTGTACAATATTATTTACTAAAAAATTTAAGAAATCGAGTAATAATTATGATGCACACGATATTGGAATATCATTATTCAGACTGTTGAATAATCTTGAAAATGAGATGGAAGCTTTTCCATGAAAGATCTCTGAATGCCATGTTCATTGTTTGTTGTTGAAAGTTGGTGATGGGGGTAACATTACTGTTTATTAAAACCTGGTGATAGGAGTAACATTATTAGCCATTAGGAATTAGTAACCTGAACGACATTGTTGGTCATTTGGTATTGGTAAAAGAAAAATAAGTTACATCCTGTTTACCGAGATTAATTGGCTGCTTGACATGGGTGGGTTATATTTTCCATTTAAGACATTTATCCCCCACCAATTTGCGTGCGTGCATGTGTGTGTGTGGGGGGGGGGGGGTTACATTGACTATGGTTGCTTACTGTGAGAAACCTTATTAAAAAAATTCCAGACAATGTATTCACAACACGGAATGTAGGAACAAACTATTTTAAAGAATGTTGCAGTGCATTTGATTCGACAAAAGACTGAATGACGGATCATTTTTGAATGCAGAAACAAGTTTTATTGGTTCTAAAATATCTTTACTAGCATTAAATTGTGTGTGTGTGTACATAAAGTGGAGAAATCTATAGCTCATTAGATAGTTATCAGGCAGAGATTATTTCATATTGCAGGCATACATAATGTGTGTTAAATATAACTCGGTGAAGCATATTTTCATATTTAGTTTGTACATAGAGTAGACTAAGGAAAGTATTGCGTACAGGTGATCCCGTGAAGCATAATGCATGTCCTTGTGAACTTGCTGAATGTTGGTAAAAAAAATAGCTGTTCTGCATAGAGTATATTTTGTGATATGGCAATATTAAAGTAGGATTAAGGATATTATTTTCTTAGTCTATTACTACATTTGCTCTATTTATATTAAAGAAACAATACTATAGGTGAGAGGTAGTGATTAAAGTATTTGTTTTACCTGTTAAAATTGCCAGTTTGGCTCAGTGTTGTGCAGTGGGGCGCAGAAGCATTCTTGTATACTGTATGCGCAGTTTCCTCCTCAACAAGGGCTGTGATTCAACTTTTATGTTTAATGGTTTAGAAAAAGATTTAAAAAAACAATATTTTGAAAGTTTTTTTTTTTTTTGCAGTTGTGATTGCAGTATATAAAATCTCATATTAAATATTAATGTTGCTGCTAACGTTAAAATAGTCACTGAAATATTACTATGAACAATTAGTTTATGTAAAACTGAATTTGAAGCCAAAAATTATCTTTACAGAAATATATATATATATATATATATATATATATATATATATGCAATTGACGATCACAAAACACTGATCATTTTATGCGGAAAATCCACAGAGAAATATGAAATGAGGTGAACGTTTCGGCTTTGTTAAAGCCTTTGTCAACACCAGACTGACTAAGGAGAAGGGAGAAGGGGGGAAGATATATAGGCCGACACCTGACCACCCCATCCCAAGGGTTGGTCAGGTGTAATTAACCAAAAACAGGTATAGCTTAGCTTAGAATGGTCAAAGAGGATTAAGCGGTCATCCTTATTCTCTGACCGCTTAATCCTCTTTGACCATTCTAAGCTAAGCTATACCTGTTTTTGGTTAATTACACCTGACCAACCCTTGGGATGGGGTGGTCAGGTGTCGGCCTATATATCTTCCCCCCTTCTCCCTTCTCCTTAGTCAGTCTGGTGTTGACAAAGGCTTTAACAAAGCCGAAACGTTCACCTCATTTCATATTTCTCTGTGGATTTTCCGCATATATATATATATATATATATATATATCTTTTTTTTTAACATGGGGGGGAAAAAACTGAAAAACTGATTTTTAAAGGCTTGTCCTCAAAAGACAGTATTTGTCTATATTGTAATAAAAGTAAAAAGTAAAACAGCTCAGAACTGTCTCACTTGTATGAGTGAAATTACGTTAGCCATTCTTACATTTCTGGCCAAACCATTTTAAGATTGGATTTTATATTCTAAATTTTGTTTTTAAACACTTGCATCTCACGACGTTCAACTGTTTACAAACAATTTGAATTTCCAATTTGTTAAATTAATTGGATTCTTTCCGCCAATAATATTTATAATTAAAGCTTTGGCCTTTATCAACTTGTAATTCAACTTGTAAACCCCAAGCTTAGCGGTGGAGAAATTGACGACTTTCATGCAGTGGTAATCCCGAGTGGATTAGTTTTAATGAATTTCTCATAAGCAGGAATTCCACTTTACCTTCCCTCCTTATATCAGTCTTCCATGTCATAAAATAACTATTAATTCTATTCCTCCACCTAGAGAACCATTGTAGTTTGTATCAGACACGTCTTAAAGTAGATGGGATTCCATACACTCAGCATTCTGACGTAAATGCTCTGGTATGTGAACTTGATGAGTGAAGAATATGCATTAATTTATATACTCTCTGAAACGGTTAGCAATTTATATACATGTGCCTGATAGCCAGAACCGCATTACTTGGCTTAGTATGTAAGGTCCGATGTGCATAACTGACCGAATGATTTTAGTTTTCAAATATTTCTTTCCAGATAGATTATTTTTGTTAGAAAAGTACCAGTTATATTAGGAACATGAATTAGTGACTTTATTTGTAATCGGTTATGTTAGGATAGGTTTCGAAAAGTTAGAAATATGATCAAACCTGACTTGTGTTAGTTTTAACTCGACATAAATTTGCAATCATATATAATACAATGACAACTTTATCTTTTCATAAGAAAAAGTTTGGAAAAATTATATATTTCACTAAAATTCGGATTGTTAAGCAAATCTGACTATTGGGTACAACATATATAAATATTTTATGTTTGTTTATAATATATACACCCACCCTTACATGTGCACAGAGTTAATGAATACACGTGTGTACATATATGCACAAACATACAGTATTTTCTATTCTGTTTTATAGAGAGGGAAGAGTTTTTAGAAATGCAAATAATGTTTTATTGAAAAAGTTCATCTCGAAAGTGAAAGGACTCATGAAATACATCATTCATTACTATAAAACTTAAGAGATTATATTTATTATGTTTAATTTTGTACTAGTGATCCTTTGTACATGTACTCCAATGTGTATATAACTAATGTGAGGGATTTTTTTTAA